CCCCCCCCCCCAAAAAAAAAGCAAAAACATTCAAACCCACAGGCAGGGCTGCCCCTCACCACTGCAGTCCGGGCGCCACGGAACTAATGAGATTGTTGTTACACATACATCGCTCCTCATCTTCTCTTAAATCTGTCAGCCTTGAGCACAGTGCCTTGAGCCAGTCAGATCAGAGAGAGCAATTTGTAAGAAACTTGCTCATCTAACTTTTTCCATTACCTGGAGAGCTGCCCTGTGCCAGGATAGTTGAGATCCATGCAAGATAAAGCTGACAGTGTACCAGGCTGGCGCTCGGCGTTAACATCAATAAGAGGCGCTGGAGAGAACACATCACTCCCAGCCTCTAAGCCGACTAGATGATCAGAAACTGTCACTGGGAAATCTCAGTAGTCTCCGGGAAGAAAAAGCCAGTTTATGTAATACGGGGTTCCTGGGGATGTTCCGTAGCTCCGATCAGCGGGGGCTAAGTGGCAGTTGCAAATGCCCTTTGTGTTTTTCATCTCTCTCCCAGGTCTTGCTACTACTACGAGTCAAGCCACTGCAGACACCGCGCACACCGAAAGTCTCCCCTGGGCCCCAGATCACGGTCAAGGTCGCCCTACAGCCGCCGGCCCAGGTAACGGGCGAGTCATTCTCCCGGGGCTCCTCTCCTCCCGGCCTTCAGATGGCAAGATTTGTCTAACCCGCCCCCCAGTTTCTGATTCATTCTGCTCCGGCCGCTGGACGAGCTTGACTTACCGATGACGTTGTGTTTCTCAGGTACGACAGCTACGAGGAATATCAGCACGAGAGGCTGAAGAGGGAGGACTACCGCCGAGAGCACGAGAAGCGGGAGTGCGAGCGGGCCAAGCAGAGGGAGAGGCAGAGGCAGAAGGCGATTGTAAGCAGCTCCGAGCTCACGTTCATTTCACGTTCATTTCTGTTTCCTGTGCCCTTCTTCTGTTTTTATCCTGGTAGATTAGAAAATAGACTAAAGCTAAGGCTAGGATATGCAGTATTCAGCCTTTTCACATTACAACATCAGTGAGTCCCCGGCCTCTCTTCACGCAGATGGTTGGAAAACCGAATGTTAAATCGGTATACTTCTCGCCCATCTTGAAGCCCATCGCTGTGTTAAAAGGGAGGGAGGGGAGTTACGCAGTCACACTGGCTCCCCGGGTCAGAGGGTGACTTCTGCTGACCGCTCCCAGCTGCTTTTTTCCCTGAGTGGGAGATGAAACCTCGCCGTTCCGTCTCTTTGGCAAATATCAGGATTGGATTGTCCATGGAGAGACTGGGTCTCTTAGATTTCAGGGAGGCAGCGGAGGAAGATTTGAGAAGAAAGTCATCATCCCTTACTTGCGCTGGGTCAACCCCTAACTGGGCAGTTGACACATCACATTTCTTATGAACCATTTGTCAATAGCCCATTATGTATTTTGGCGCCATGTGCGGCAGGGTATTCCATTCACTCGACATATAGACAGCACTGACCCTTTGCTGGAAAGATCCAGGTTACATTAAACTAATTTTTTCCTCTGTGGGTCAGTGCTTTTTCAGCAGCTACTTACTAATGGGTAGGCTTTACCCTGACTCCCACCCATTGCTTATCAACCTAGACCTTGGAAGGCAAACATGAGACGCTCCAGTTGTCGCATCTTGTGCTTGTCCTTGGCAGACATCCCTAATCGATTATGGCACTCTTTCCCACCAAGCCCCTTAGGGTCTCAGGGTGCTCAAGGGAGCCATGGCTAATCGATGAGAAGCGGTACTGCTTTTGTCCGCTGCAGCTGCCGCCTGTCTGTGCTAGCTGCTGAGAATCATCTCCGTGAAGATCAGCTTCTGACATGTCTTGCATTCAGGAAACCAAGACTTAGGGGAAGGAAATTAAAACATTAGATGTATATGGTTCCTTTAAGAAAACCCACTGCCATCAACAAATCTGGAAAAACTTACAGAAAGGAGCTGACTAATGAAGTCAAAATCAGGCACTGGCCAACAGCTATCAGCTGGAGGAAAAAGGTTAACTGAGAGATTTATTCATCGCAGGCACTCAAGGAGAAGGAAGGGAGATGTAACTGAGTACTCAGGCTAAAGTTCTAGGGTGTTGGCTGTCGCTTAACTTTGAATCTACCTAAGACTGAATCATCGGCCTTTTGCAAATTACAACACTTTTCCTCATTTTTTCTCAACTTTCAAATGAGCTGCGATATTAAGATCTGCCAGAGTGTCATTAGTTAACACTTAAGAAGACTAATGAAAATTAAAAATTCAATATTTCTAATTTTGCTGTTTTTAATTAATAGCCTATTCAATAATTATAATAACTCACATTTATATAGTGCCATGTAGTTTACAAAGCCTTTTAATATGGCACATTACAGTTAATCTTTACAAAAGAGAATCATGTTGCATAAGCATGTAAGAAAAATAGTAATTTAGTGTTTGCAAATTCATATTTTATAAAATCCTTCATGTTTCTTCTCAGAAGTATACCATTACAGAGAGAGATTAATTATTTCATAATATATTTTCTCATTTGGGCAAAATACAACATAGCTATAACCAAAGCTGTATAAATAAATGTAGATAAATGGCATTGCTTATTTTATGCCTTCCAAAGATAATTTTGTGCCAGATACTTAACTAGAGTCAAGAAAGGGTGAGAGGTGCTTTTTTCTAGTTTGGCTCTTTCCAAATAGATCAAATAACGTGATTGGTCTACAGTCCACAGTTGATGCCTGAGCCAAAAGCATCTTGAGGTCATCAACCTCAGCTTGGAAGTAGGTACCACCCTGCCTTCTCCTTGTGTCACAAATGTTGACCATTCCTTAGTTCACTCTTTGAACACAATCTTTTTCAATTCTCTTTGAAAGATGGCTTATATAGTCAAATGTCAATTTGGATTATATTAAATAATTATAAAATAACTAGACATTTGTGGGAATTTTGACTTGGAGTTTTTTTGGTTTTGAAAAGCAGATTGAAAAATTGAAATTATGACCTAGAGAAATGTTGACTGTAGTTAATAAGAGCTTAATATGAAGATTTGGAACTTACTATTAAACCAATGCCCACTGCTACAGTTATATGCTACTTCTGCTTAACATAAGTGAAAGCTCATGACTCCTTATGTGACAAACATTTGCTAGGTGCTGAGGATATAAAATTAGGCAAGACCTGGTCCCCTATAGCCAGGGAGCTTCAAGTCTACTGGGAGATAAAGATAAAAAAACAGGCAATAGGATGTTAAGTGCTATTGTAGAAGATATATCTAGGGTACTGGGGTGGTACATCAGTGGGCACTGAGACCTGGGAGTGAGGGAGGTCACCCCTGACGAGGGTGAGATTGCTCTGAAACCAAAAGGGATGGAAGGCAAAGGGTTTCTAAGCCTGTGCTGTCCAACATGGTAGCCATTAGCCAAGTGACTAATTCAGCTAGTCCTAAATTTAGATGCACTACAAGTGTTATTGGATTTGGAAGACCATACAAAAATAGAAAAAGAATTAAGATACTTCATTAATATTTTTTATACCAATGACAAGTTGAAATGGTATATCAGATATATTGAACTAAATAAAATATGTCATTAAAATGAAATTTTCTGGCTCTTTTTTACTTTTAAAATGTGCCTCTTAGAAAATTAAAAAATTACATGAACTGTATTATATTTTTCTTGGACATTGCTATTCTAGGCAGATGCTGTAGCTCATATTAAGTCTCTGGGAAAAAGCAAGGTAGATTGGGAATCTGCTAGTCAGTTAACTAGAACACTGGGGTGTGAGAGCTGCAAGGAAGAAGTCTGGAGGGCTCCATGGAAGCCAGATCTTTGAAGGGTCCTGAAAGTCATGATAAAGATTTTGAAGTCTCTATCTTGGAGGCATAGTGAAACTATTTAATGAGTTCACCCCCAGGAAGATTTTCTGATTGATTTCCTTCCTCAAAATGATCTGCTTTCTTATGCCAAAATGCATTTTGCAAAGTTTATTTTTATGTACTTGGGCACAGAGGTTCATGCAATGATTTTTGATACATTTGACTCAGCTTGAAAAGTCATTCATGAAATAGCTAAAGGAACTTGGATGGTCCACCAAGTTGGTTGGGTAGGTGATTTCCATTCAGGTTTTTGAGATACCCTTAAAGTAATGAGTAAGTAGCAAATTATATTTGGAATACTTTGGATGCAGTGCTGGATTTTGCATTAATTCAGATCAATCGTATAATTAGGGGATCAAAAAAGCAGAATCTCCATAAGGAAATAAAAATAATAATGTTAAAGTCATATAATACTGGATTTTTTAGGAAATTAAAGCAGTCTCTGTTGCCTTTTTTTGTGGTCCATATTGCTTTTGCTTTGAGCTCTGTAGGGAGATGGTTTGGGAGGTCTATAAAGTTTTCATGCTGATGCTTCTAAAAGGCTCTATCCAGACAGACTCGAGGACATCAAATCAGAGAGTCAAGAGAAGTGTAGTTATTAGTAATTCCTAACCAGGAGTCATACATTGTGGTTGAACATTGCTATTGTTTTAGTTGCTACTTTCCTTCAATTTCCATCTAATCTCTTTCTCAAAAACCAATTCACTCTCTCCCTTTCTCAGTCTCATAGGCCTGAAATAATTCAGGTTATATTAGAGCTGAGCAAGCCAGAGTTTAGTACTTCCTGTCTAAACTGTCACTGCTCTAATTTCTCGTGGACTTCCAAGTCTAGCTCCACTTGCAATTTTTACAGTTTCCTGCCAGAAAACATGATAATGGGATGTTAATTAAAAGGGCAAATCTAGACATTATGATACGGCTCAGTGCTTAAAACCAAAACCAGATGTGCTTGGGCAATGCTGGTGGCATTTCATTTCTCTTCTCCTCTATTGGTTCGTATGCAGCCCAGGAGCCAGGAACAGTGCATCATTGCTGATAATGATCAGCTTCTTCCAAATGAAAAAAATTGTGTAATTTCTCATAGTTATTCTTTTTTGGAGAAAATTAAGTAGTTTCTATTCAAGCTTTTTTCAAGAGATATTTCATGTGGGTGAATATATCTTGAGTTCTGAGCTCACTATTTAGAAATTAGAAATTTTATCACAAGTAGTTATATATACTCTCTGTCTATGGTTTTCATGTTTTTTGACTTTTCACTGGGTTTACTTGCATCTTAGCTCTTACATGCATATGGTCTATTAAGGAGACTAACCTGGCTTTATTCACATTAATCCCACCTTAGACCCTAAAGAAGAACATTCCTAAGCATTCCTGGAATGGGGGTAACTTTGGAAAACTGAATGCTATAGTTTTGTTTTCTCCCTAACAGTGCACCCTAGTAGTAGAAACTCATTGATTGACTACTGAATTAAATGAGTGTAATCAATAGTAAAGGCAAGAGAAAAAAATCCTTTTGTTTTTGGATTTTTTTGGAGTTTTGGCATTTCTTTCTGTCCATCCATATCTTTTTATGGCTACCCACTCCACTCAGCTTTTCCTTTTGATAGAGAATCTAACTAACTATGCCACTCACTCTAGAAATGGCACCGAATTTATCCACTCATCTCATCTATAGTATTTGTAGTATCCTTGGAATTTCTGAGGAAGTCAGGTTGTAGCTAATCTGACAATGAACACAAATCTCTCATTGCCAAAGTTGACATGCAGTTTCCTTAGCATAGGGAGCGACTTTTTAAATTATTCTAATCTGGGAATGTAGATTCAAAGTTCTGAAAACCCAAATTCCATCAGGCTGCTCCTGTTGTTACCTAGCACTGCAGAGCACTTTAGTGAGATAACCCATGAAGAGCATCAACCACTACTTGATATATTTTAGACCATAAATGTTAACCTCCTTGTTAAGTTTATTTTTTAAATATATTTTTAATCCTCACTTGAGGATATGTTTCTATCGATTATAGAGAGAGAGGAAGGGAGAGAGAGAGAAAGAGAACCATCTATGTGAGAGAGAAACATTGATCTATTGCCTCCGATACACACCCGACCAAGGACTGAATCTGCAACCTAGGTATGTGCTCTGACCGCGCATCGAACCCACCACCTTTTAGCATATGGGACAATGCTCCAACCAGCTGAGCCACCCGGCCAAGGCTCATTTTATTTTTCATTCTTAATCAAACCCCTTTTACCAGGAGTAGCTTGTTATTTGATGAGAAACATTCAATATTTTCTCCAGCTAACTGGGAGGCTCTATACACTTTCTGATAAAGATTTTGATAATGCAAAGTCAGTTAATTTAGTCAGGTTTCCCTTTTCTTTATTCCCCCTCGTTTTGATATAATGAGGATTTACCATAACTGTTAATGCAACATAAATTTCCATTTTATTATCCGCCCCATCAGCAAACTAGCTTTTGTGAAAATTGAAGCTAAAAGATATTTGATAAATGTCCCATCCTCCTCAATAGTGAAAACTGGTCTGAAAATCATTTTTCAAAAGCTTTTGCCAAAGGTTTAGAGTTCCTCCAAGCCTTTAAGAAGTTGGAAATGTTATTAAGCATTTTGATTTCTTTTCCTTTCATCTCCTGTTTAGAAATTAATGTCTTGAAAAATTGGCTGCAAATGTTAAGGTTTTTTAAAGATATGGAATCTATTCATCTGTCTAATAAAACTGCAACATGTTAAAAATAATCTGTTCCCTGCTAGACATTTTGGCCAATCTTGGAAAGATTTTTGTCTTTGCTTTTTAGACCTTCAGCTGCCTTTTAGCTTCATTTTTAGCACCAGGAAAACTGAGCACTGTAATCATTTTATTTTAACATGTATTCAATCTCTGGCCTTTGGAAGGTAGCAAGACGGGGCCCCCGTCCTGTGTTTTATAGAAGGCGACGCTAGACCAGTAGGTAATTTACATGACTGTGGACAGCCCTTCGGATTTCTGTTCCTTCCATCCAGGTTGTGTCTTCTTTTTACTGCAGAATGTATCTGTATCTGCTATAAAAGGTCCTCTGGTTTATCTTCTTTGTGGGATCATTGTTGCACACAGCTTTGTATAAAGAAGCAATTCAGAGACTGTCCCAGTATGTCTGCATATGGCCGTGCATATGGTCGATTTTAACTTTAACTTCGAATTTACTTGAACACGTAGGCTGTGTGTATTCCCATAATGGTAGTTGAACAATTTCCTTGTGATGGTTCAATTTCTTTCTCTCTCTCCTGCATTCCCCCCGCCTTTTCCTCTATACAGTAGTAACCTTCCTAAAAAGGCTCATTAAAAAAAAAAAAATCCATAACACCCATGCAAGCAGGCGCCAGGAAGTTTAGATAGCAGCCCCATCACAGTCGGCTGTTTGGCTGGAGCTGGCTGTGTAAATAGAATGGAATGTGATGTTATGAATCTGTCGCTCAAGTGTACAGCCCTGTGCCAGGCTGAGCCTCACCACCCATTTATATTTATTGCCTCCTGAATGTGCTGGGTGCTCCGGCACATTCAGTGCAGCCTTCAGTTGAGACATACAATCTACATGGAAGTGAATCAGGCAGGCTGCTCTGCTTGCTGTACATCATCTGGTCAGTTACCTAGGCTCAAGAGCTGATGTCAAGGGAATTGTGTTTTATCAACTGTTTTAGCTACTACAAACTTGTAGCTACTCCACATTTCTTACACTTAAACCTGTAATAACAAATCATGAAAACCTTTGTTAATTCACTGAGGTGAGCTACCTGGGCAAGGTTTTTCCTATAATAAAGCACCAAACCTGGCTTTCTGTCTCCGTTGTCTTAGCCTCAGGGAGTACAGACCACACTCAGGCATCTTCATGTAATGAAGGGTATGGACTAAGTGTTAAAAATAATTAATTCATTGCTGATTGATTTTTCAACAAATATTCATTGAGACTCTATGTTTCAGGTACCCTTAAAACATAGTTGTCAATAGGACAGATATGGTCTCAGCTTTCATGAAGCTTTCATTGTAGGGAGAGATAGACATTAATCAATGAATAAACTATTAATTAATTATAATTGGGCATAGAACTACAAAGGATAAATGGAGTGTCCTGTTAGAGCAACTAAAGGAATCCTGACCTCATTTCAACTCAGAAAGGAAATGATTGTTGAGCTCAGTGTAATTCTAGACAGTATGTGTATGTTGGTAGAGGGGAGGGAGAGACAGTGTAAGAAGGATGTTCCAAGTAGCAGGGAACAGCTTGCTCAAAGGCCCTGGGAAAGGAAGGAGCACAGTACATACTGAGGACTGATAGAAGCTCGGTGTGGCTGGAATATAGTGTAAAGGAAAGAATGTGATGAGATAAAGCCATGATGATGACAGGTCCTGTGATGGGCCTGGTCCTGTTAATGATTTAGGGCTTTCCTTAAAAGTTAGGAGAAGCCCTTGGAATGTGCTAGACAGTAATTGGCATGATCGGATTCCTGTTCCCTTAACAAAGACTACTCAGCCTGAGTGAAAGAAGAGATTAGAAGTGGGCAGACATAGAATTAGGGTCCCAGTTAAGAGGCTGTTCTACTAGTCCAGAAAGAGATTCTGGAAGCTTGCTTTAAGGGAGATATAATGAAGGAGATGGACTAGAGAGAGATTTAGGAGGTAAAAATCAACAGGATTTAGTGAGTGACTGGATATAAGGGAAGAACCGAGAAGGCACTCAGGTTGTTGTTCTGAATAACTGGCTAGATGGTGTTAACTTCACTGACTCAAGAACATTGGAGAAAGGCCCACTGGGCAGAGGGCAGAACTGGGGAGTTTGGTTTGGGTGATGTTGGTCTGGTTGGAGGTGCCGAGGAGACATCTAACCTGAGATCTCAAGAATTTGAAGCTCAGAGGAACTTCCCTGATGAAAATAGAAATATGAGTATTGCATAAGATAAAAAAAGATGAAAGATGAATGATTAGATCACCTAGGATGATATGTATCATAGAGCCTGTGAACTGTTCAGTTATATTTCACAAACACTTATTGAGTGCTCAGTCTTTGCCAGGCCCTTTGCTAAATACTGGGCACATAAAAAGGAAAGACATTCAGTAAATAACATGGGACATCTCTTTGCCTTGGGCCTAAATTACTTTTCACATCACCCAAGACAGGATATCTCAGTATATCCAGAGAAAACTCTTAGGCAAGCTAAATCCGTACCTGAGTTCTGTGCTTCCTCATCTTTGCTTCCATCTAACTTAAATCGCAGCCACCTCGGTTCGTTCCATTCTTGTTTGTCCTTGATAGACATGTAGCCTGGTTGGTAAGCACGTTCTTTATATTAACTCCTTACATTCTTTCCTCTCTCTGTTTTAAGGGACATCGCCGCCTTTGGCCTGTCTTTTTAGAACAAGATTTGTAGGATTGCTCCTTACATTAAGAAATGCATTCCTGTGTGTGTGTTTTGTTAAGAAATATATCCACGCGCTATGAACGATTCCTCCCCTGTTTGGAAGGTTATAAATTGCTGATGACTTTCAGATTATGATGATATCGACTCTACTGGAGAAAATTAGGCCACACCTTTCTAGTCTGTTTCTAAAATAAGATTCATTGGCAAAGTGAAATTGATAAGCCTCTTTTATAGCCTTTATTCTTTGGAGACCCATGGCTTAAAATAGTCTACGTTTTAAGACTGTGTTTTTCAAATGATTGTCTTTGGGCCACCTGCGTCAGCATCACTTGGATGTGCTTATTAAGAATGAGGATCACTGAACCCTGTCTTTCCAATATTTTTTAGTACAGGTGGGATAAATCCCAATAGTTTGCATTTTTAATAAGCACGTCACATAACATTTATTTTGAGGTATGTCAAAATTTGTACCCCAAACCCTCATGCTGTATACCTTAAACTCATGCATTGATTTATGTCAATTATTTCCCAATAAAACTGGAAACAAATTGTACACCTCCATATTAGAATTTTGAGTTAATGAGAAATTAAACAGTTTTGCAAGCCAGGTCAAGTTCTTACCAATTTTGAGGATTCATAATTGAGTCACAGGAGTTAAAATATTTAACAGGTGTTCTTCAGTTATTCAGTGATAAAATGATCATATCACACGTATTTCTTTTCTAACATATAAAAGTTCATGTGGCTGAAGAACAGAAATGGAGAAGAAAAGCAGAAGGGAGTGGGATGCCAAAGAGAGCGGGGATGTCAGGGAAGAGAGTGATATTGATGCAATGGAAATGGAAACTTGGTTGAAGTGTAGCCTTTCCCTCCATTTTCGTTTCTGTTTTGCTTTAACTGGCATGCTCTGTGGGCTACTCTTATGCATGACCATGCCTTTGTGAATGTTTCTAGAGGTTCAACTCCTTTCCTGTCTCCAGAACTAGCAAGTCTCTCTTTACTCCCCCCTCCCCCAGGAAGAACGCCGTGTGATTTATGTTGGCAAAATCAGACCTGACACAACACGGACAGAACTGAGGGACCGGTTTGAAGTTTTTGGTGAAATTGAGGAGTGCACAGTAAATCTGCGGGATGATGGGTGAGAATCTTCAAGATTATTTCTTGTTTAGAAGCTGACATATGTAAAAAATTATGGCCCTAAGATTCCTAGGATGGGGATGCCTTGGCAGGTGACATGTTGAGTTCAGAACCTTATTTATTTTCTTTCACCCCTATTTATTAATCTTTCTAGTTGAGATTTCCTGTCCCAGGAATAAGTATTTAGCCACTTGACAGGACAATCACACTGATAAATGGGTGCGGTGGCTCAGACGTTGGCCCCGGCGGAGTCTCCCCAAGTAGAAAGGGTTACGGTGGGATATGCTAATGCTCCCTCCCCAGCTTTGAACTTCTCTTTGTCCGTTGCAGAGACAGCTATGGTTTCATTACCTACCGCTATACCTGTGATGCTTTTGCTGCTCTTGAAAATGGATACACTTTGCGCAGGTCGAATGAAACCGACTTCGAGCTGTACTTTTGTGGACGCAAGCAATTTTTCAAGTCTAACTATGCAGACCTAGGTATGGATTTTATTGTTCATGGGATGAGGGATCCATAACGTAGAGCTCAACATGGAAGTAAATGTAAACCGAAGGCACATTGGCTTGGCCTATTATTTTACTAGAGGGAATATTTGAATACAAATTTTATCTTGTTATTTATTTTTTAACACATGCGACAGTTTCAGAAGCAAGAGGCGTAGTAGGTTTTGGCAACAGAGGGCAGAAGTAAATTCGTTGTACTTTCTGTCCAGATGCTGAAATTCTGCACTGGTGTGTGTGTGTGTGTGTGTGGTATGTCGTGTTTTGTGTGTGTATGTGTTGTGTGCATGTGTGGGGTAGAGTGTGTGTCTGCATGTGTCTATGTTGTGTGTGCATCTTTGTCCAGGTGTGGGATCTGCCATCGCTTTTTGTGCCCAGCCCCGAATCCTTTTGTCCAAACCTGTAGCGTTGCCATCGTTGTTTTATGGAGCAGAACGTGTAAGAGTCTTGTTCTTCTTTTCCTTATTGAATCACAAAGCCTTAGAAATGTTATCATCTCCCAGAAAGTACACCTTGAGAGCAGAAAATAAAATTTCATATGCTAAATCACACTATACTTTCTTTAAAAGAGAAAAGAGAAAATGTTATTCTCGAGTACTTCTGCATGCTAGGCACCGTGCCAGGGGCTTTGCGAACATTTTCTCCTTTAATCACCAGAACAGTCATAGGAGACAGATATTCTCATTGCTATCCCCATTTTACAGATAAAAAAACTGAAGGATATGTAAGTATTGCTTTCTTCCTGTTATAAAAATTGTACAGACTCAAGGGATAAAATTTAGAAAATATAAAAAAAAATTAAGGACAATAGGACAATCGCCTATCAGCCCATTACCTAGAGGTAACCACCGTTACCTAGTGTGTGATTTACATGCCAGTATTTTGTCTCAGCATGCCTAATTTCTTAGAGTTGAGGTCATGTTTTATATATAAATGTATACTTTTAAAGTCTGCTTATCTCAATGAATATTATATAAGTTCATTTTCCACTCTATTCACAGGATTAAAAATAATTTATCAACACATTTTAATGGCTACCCAGCCTTCTGCTCAGTGCATAATGCCATGGTATTTAATCCTCTCGTTAGAGAGAAACGTTTCTTCAGTTTTCAAATTTTTCATATTATAAATAATGCCACAATGGACATCTTAATTTCCCTCCCAATTTTAGTTTTGCTCCTTCGCATCGGATTTCCTGCCTAATGTGTGCACTGTAGGACTTCCCATTCTCTGATAAAGGAAGGGAAGTCGCATGTATCTCGTGCATATGACGTAATTATTTTAAATCAATTATGCTACTAATCATAAAATTAACATATGCATCTATTCCTGAGCCTTATTATATTTCCATCTGCACTTCCTTTGGCTTGGTGTAAAGGAAGAAATGAATACCAAATACGGGGATTTTTTTTTCTCCCTTCCACCAAAGCGATGTCTCCCTAGAGTAATGGATACAGGTCGCGCGCATTGTTCAGGGGGAATGTGCTATAATTCACTTCAAACGCTAAATAGATAGCGGGAAGCCGGGGAGAGGCCGCTGACTGCTAGGGAGCTAAGGCCTAGGGATGAAAATATAAACGGTGGCAAGTCATTTGTTCAAATGTTGGCTGATAAAAACAGTCAAGACAGATTGAAGTCTTGAGTTGATTTGACTTATTGTATTCGGTGATGAAGGCCAGGGTGTTTCTAGTCTCTCAAAACATCTAGAGCTTAAAATAAGCTACCTAGAGGGGCCTTTAGATCACGATTCATCACCGCGAGGGGGAGAATGGAATGGTATTTCCAAATTGAACCAGAGCCTCCCTGAAATATTTCTAAGAAGAATGCTTCCCCTCTCGTTATCTCCCCGCCTCGCCAGCAGCAATGAAACTTCGCCGTCGCTAAGCCAGCTCGGCCTTTTCTGCAGAGGGTGTTTGATGGGCATTGTAGTAGCGCAGGCTTTTCCGTTCCCTCGAGCCCGACAACGCAGGAGGCGCAGCGGATCTGAGAGCGGCCAAGATGCAGGCGAAGCCCGCAGGCGTTCGGAACCCCGTGGCCCTGGGTTTGAAACCTCACCTGCCTTCTGACCCCCGGCAGACAATGAAAGTCGCTCCGCTTCTGGGTCTTCATCGGGAAAATACTTTCTAACGCTGCCGTGAAGATTAAGTCAACGTCTGTGAAGCTGTTAGCAGTGTCCGGCATAAAATAGTTGCTCAATAAAGAGTAGCTATGATTATAATGAAAAGCGACGGAATGAGAAGGTGGAAGTTTCAAGTTATTTTAAAACAAGAATGAGGAGCAGCGTCCAGCTTTGGGACTGAGCAGCGCTCCTGTGTGCTTTGTCTTTGTCGCCCGAAGGGTTCTAGTTAAATGCTTCGGGGCACAGCCGCCGGATATGCGAACAGAAGTGTGTCCTGCACCGTCGGGGGCATTGTGAGCTGCTGTGTGTGTCAAGTGTAAAGTGAAAACGATGTAATACAGACACTTTTACCGAGAGTAAAGTGACTGATCACTTTAGATAGATTTAACCACTTTTTTTCAATTTTGTTTTCTTTTGCTCCCCCAAATTAAGTTAGCTCACCCATCCTATTTCAGTACCACTGAGACCACTGAATGACCGCCGCAATATTATTAGTGCAAAATGTAATGATTCCAGGTAGGATTTATGAGCCAGTTTTTAAATGAGATTCAGAATTTAAAGAGACTATCAAGGTTACTATGGTGAAGCCAGGATTTAATTCTGGTTCCTATAGATCTGTAATCTGTGTGTCTTTCTATTTACTCTCTTATAAAAATAATGGATCTTTCTGAAAGACTTCAATGACAAATGGTAAAGAGGAAGGATACCCGTTAAATTAGGACTCTCTGACCAGAACAGAATGAATGGGCCAGTACAAGTAATATAATAATTTCAATCACAAATTAGTTGTGGTGTAGAACTTAAATGTAAAAGAAAGAGAAAGAAAGAGAAAGAAAGAGAAAGAAAGAGAAAGGAAGGAAGGAAGGAAGGAAGGAAGGAAGGAAGGAAGGAAGGAAGGAAGGAAGGAAGGGAAAATATTCATCATAAATTTTTATTGACTTGAAGAAATGTAATATGTTATCAGCATCTTAAATATATACATAACTCTTCATAAACCCTTTCCATTTATTGGTAAATCATTCCCAGATGCCCACACAAACATTTTTGCCCGTAGTTTTAATAAAATGGTGGTGGTCAAGATGAATATATTCATTGAACAAATATTAATTTTAGTACCTACTGTGTGCCAACAGTTTTCTAGGAACCAGGAATACAGTTGTAATGTGATTTTTTCCTATTTATACAATGTCATTATTTATAACAATTTATTTAAAAAAAACAATGAGGGTGGCTTTGGGGTTATTTCTATCAAACTTTGTATTGTGTTTTACTTGTGTTGCGGCACCCTTCCTTTAGTGTAGAGAAAGGGGGGGAAGAGGTGTCATCGCCTCAGGAAGTACATGTAACCACATTCTATCTTCATGAAACAGAAAAAGATTTTGGGGCACCTGCTGTGTGACATAGTGTGCTCCTGTAAGTGGGTATATATGTAAATACCAGCCTGCATATTTCACAATGAGGAAACTCTTGAGAACCACTGTTTTACAATAATTTTAGTATCTGCTAAGAAAAATATGGAAACACTGAAATTCTGGGTTTCATGCAGAATAATCCAAAGTTAAGACATTTTAATTATTCTCAAAATTTCCTCTGAGAAAAGACGCGTATGTGTGCTCCTGATGGGCATATTCTGCACTCAGGGGGGCTCCCGTCATAAGCAGACTGAATTAACCGTCTAAGATGTTAGTCCGGAAAGATTGTCCGTGTCTGTTCTTGCCTGCATGTCTGGGGCCGACTCTAATTGTTGTTTTGTTGTTCTTACCTGGAGAAACTTGCTTAACAGAAATTCAGTAAAAGCATAGAATGGTGAGAATGAAAGAGAAAAAGCAATGCAGGGATTCCTTTGATTTAAAAGCTGGACCGCTTAAAGTGGATGGTGGCGAGGGGTAAAAAATCAGCCTGTGCCCCAGAGCTGGGGGGTTACAGCCTTCACAGCAGAACATCTCGTGAGGCTCCACATTACCCAGTCTTACACTCTCCTGTCACTCTCAGCATTTCATTTTCAGAACTTAGTCTGGGTAAAACATGGAAATGTTCATATTTTAGTAGGATTGTTAAAGTTTTCCAAAAAGAATTGTTTCTCTTCAAAATGAGTGCTTTCAAAAGAACGATCGTATTTGCAAGAGGCTTTCTATTATATTTCCAAGATAGTCTTTCTCACTTGCAAGACGGGCAAAAATATCTGACTTTTTTTTTTAGAGATGTCAATGGAGAGAATCAGAAATAGCTAACAGATTTTCACTTTACATCCAACATTGCTGAAACACATCGATTTTGTTAAGGGCTCTTTGAAGTAGGGTGTGGGACTTGGAGCAAAAGCTGACGTGGGCTAGTTTAAGGATCCAAGAGAGACCATTCTTTATTTACACCCGCATATTTTCTGTCTTCCATTAACTAGTAAAGAGACTGAATTACCCTTTCTGAACATGAAGCATTTCCCTAAAGCTTCTAATTTGGGGGAGTTTGTGCACTGTTGCTGGGGTACCCGAAGGTATGGAGTAGATGACTGGATCATGCGTCTCTCCTGCCTGGAAGGAAAGCAGCGGGGTGGGGAGTGGGTGAAGTCCCGGCTTTCTCTCCCACTTAACTGGACTTTATACTTTATACGTAATGAAATCAGTCCCGTTGAACAGGGAAATTAGGCCCAGCTTCTCCTCTTGTCTCTCCATCTAAGTTGTTGAGGAACCTTGGGTGAGTTGTTTAACATGCCTCTGGGTGGGAGAGGAAGGGGGGCCTTATATTTAAAGTATATCGATTGGGTAAGTTGCCACTGAATAGATATTAAAGTCTGTTCTGGTTACCCTCTGGGAGTGTTGACGTCTAAACTGAGTCAATAGATGAGTGTTTTGAATGCTCACCACTCCTTACCATATATTTTGGATAAGTTGCTCTTAAATCGGGTCACCTTGAATGGGATGACTGAGTTAATGCCCATCAGGAAAGGGTGCCTCTAACCTGGCTTGGGTTTCTTTCAGATTCAAACTCAGATGACTTTGATCCCGCTTCCACCAAGAGCAAGTATGACTCTCTGGATTTTGATAGTTTACTGAAAGAAGCCCAGAGAAGCTTGCGCAGGTAACATGTTCCCTGGCTGAGGATGACAGAGGGACGGTGAATACCTCACGGGACAGTGCGTCCTTCCCTAACAGACTATTGCAAGTCATACTTAGGAATTTCTCCTACTTTACACTCTGTACAAAAACAAAACAAAACAACAACAATACAACAAGAACAGCAACAGCAATGGTTTACATGAACACAGCTGCTGAAGAGACAGAATGGCTATCCAGTAAGCACATGTTCATTCATGGGCGTCAGCTTTGCTTTCCCGGGAGTCTCTCGGGGACGGCGTGTGCCTGTGTGCGTGCGCGTGTGCGTGTGCGTGTGTGCATGCGTGCCTGGTGTGGGGGAAGTATGTATGCACAGGTGGGGACTGGGGCTCCTGACCAGAGTGTGCCAGGGCAAACCACTTCACATGGCAGCAGTTCCAAGAAGACACACGTAACACCTAGAACTTCAAAATGTTCATATGCTATTCAAAAGGAAAAAAATAAATAGATAAATTCAAAAGGAAAGAAAACTAACCAACCAACCACAATCCACCCTAAAATGACAGCCGCCGATGCCTGGGCGCCGGCCTCCGCACTCATTTTTTAAGAAAGTACGAAAGCAACTTGAAGCGAGCGTTCTCTCAGACGTGACAATCCCGAGGAAACCACAGGCTCCCTGGAACTAATATCCTTTCTCTCTCTCTCTCTCTCTTTTTCTTTCCTTTCCTTTTCTTTTCTTTTCATTTTTCCTTTGGCCATGGAATCTGGGTGGGAGAGGACACTGCGGGCACCGGAATGCTAAACTTTCCTAACATTTTGAAGTTTCTGTCGTTCGTCCTTTATCCTGACACCCATGGAAATGTCCAAAATGTTGACCTTCCACTGCACACCTCCCCAGCCTCGGCCTTGGGCGCGGCTGGGCCCACGGTTCTTTCTGAGGAGCGGGCACCGTGTCACATTACGAACGAGAGTCGGGCAGAACTCTCCGCGACGTGTTCAGATAGTGTAATTGCTACATTCTCCGATGTAGTTAAGTATTTACAGATGTTAAATGGAGTATTTTTATTTTGTGTACATACTATACAACAATGTTCTTTTTTGTTACAGCTATGCACTGTAAATGCAGCCTTCTTTTCAAAACTGCTCAATTTTTCTTAATCAAGAATATTCAAATGTAATTATGAGGTGAAACAATTATTGTACACTAACCTATTTAGAAGCTGAACTTACCGCTTATATATATTTGATTGTACAAAACAAACAAAAAAAAGACAGTGTGTGTGTCCGTTGAGCGCAGCAACAAAACGCTGCTTTCCGCACATCCATCCCTTCTTAGGTGAGCTTTGCTCGAAGCATCTTGTCAAGAAATATCCTAGCCCCCCGAAGGTATTAACCACTTCTGCGATATTTTTCCACATTTTCTTGTTGCTTGATTTTCTTTGAAGTTTTATACACTGGATTTGTTAGGGGAATGAAATTTTCTCATCTAAAATTTTTCTAGACAATATCATGATTTTATGTAAAGTCTCAATGGGTAACCATTCAGAAATGTTTTTATTTTCTCTATCAACAGTAGTTTTGAAACTAGAGGTCAAAAATCTTTTTAAAATGCCGTTTCGTTTTAATTTTTGTGATTTTAATTTGATACAAAATGCTGAGGTAATAATTACAGTATGATTTTTACAACAATTAATGTGTGTCTGAAGACTTATCTCCGAAGCCAGTATCTCTTTCCCTTGGCAGAGTAGGATGATGGTATTTATCTGTATTTTTTACAGTTATGCATCCTGTACAAATACTGATATCTCATTCCTTTGTTTACTAAAGAGACATATTTATCAGTTGCAGATAGCCTATTTATTATAAATTATGAGATGATGGAAATACTCAAAGCCAGTGGAAATTTTCTACCTAGGATGCATGGCAGTCGTCAGGGTGGAGTTTCAGTGTTTCATTCGGGAAACTCAGCTTTTGCAGAAGCAGTGTTTCTGCTTGCACTAGCATGGCCTCTGATGTGACCATGATGTTGTTCTCGATGACATTGCTTCTGCTAAATTCAATAAAAAACAAAAAACAACAAAAAAAAAAACTTCCAAAAAAACCTCCATGTTAAGCACCAGGATTTCATCTGAGTGTGGAGCCCCGGAATGGAAGTCAGTAACGTTTGGAGTGTGTTCTCAACGTTTCTAAATTGAGATTCGATCACAGTTTGGCTGACACGACTTTTCTGGAAGACATGATAACGCCTACTTCTTAATCGTTCTTTTTTCTTTCTCTCGCCCAAACCCGATCTTATAAAATGGATTTCACCCCCAGGCCAATGCAGCTAATTTTGACGGCTGCGTTCATTTATCTATCACCAGCATATTGTGTTCTGAGTGAATCCACTGTCTGTCCTGTCCGATGCTTGCTTGATTTTTTGGCTTCTTATTTCTAAGTAGATAGAGAGCAATAAAAATACTATGAAATAAACTTGTTCACAGGTTCTGCGTTACAACAGTAACACACCTTTAATCCGCCTAATCCTTGTTGTTGTGTAGGTTAAATGCAGGTATTTTAACTCTGTGTGGACGCCAAACTGAAGTTTACAGTCTTTCTTTCTGAATTCTGAGTATCTTCTGTTGTAGAATAATAATAATAATAATAAAAAAGACTATTAAGAGCAATAAATTATTTTTAAGAAATCAATATTTAGTAAATCATATTATGTGTTCAAGGACCAGATGCGTTCTCTATTTTGCCTTTAAATTTTTGTGATCCAATTTTAAATACACTCTCCTCTTTTGCCCTGGATTGTTGACATGAGTGGAAAATACTTGGTTTCTTTTCTTACTTATCAAAAGACAGCACTACAGATTTCATGTGGAGAATTAATTTATTCCCCCTCTGGCCTGACAAATATTGTTGCCATAAAGATCCTTTCTCTTCTTTTTTTTTTCCCATGGACTTCAAATTGCATCTAAAATTAGTGCAAAGAGAGAATCACTAAACCATCCGAATAGAGCTTTTGTATCTTATGCAGGCACTGTGGGTAGCCCATCAAAATGTAAACTGTATTCCTTTTATTTTTATTTTTAATTTTTTTTTGGAGAGAATCTTTCAAATGAACACATGCACCCCATCCTCACTGGAGGCAAATTTCAGCATAGATCTCTGGGTTTGAGATGACCGCGGGCCATTGCCTTCACGCTGTGGTAAGTACCACATCTACAATTTTGGTAACCGAACTGGTGCTTTAGAAATGTGGGTGTGTGTGTGTTATTATTATTATTATTTTTTTATTTTTTTTTTTTAAAAAGAGATGTAGCAGAATAATTCTTCCAGTGCAACAAAGTCAATTTTTGCTAAACAACTCCAAGAGAGCAACCGCTGGGCTGTCAACATTCAAAGCAGCAGAGAGGGAACTTTGCACTATTGGGGTATGCCGGTTGGGTCAGTTGAAAACAGGAAACCTTTTCATGCCTTTAGATGTGAGCTTACAGTAGGTAATGATTACGTGTCCTTTGCTGACGGCTGTAACGAGAACTTCAATCACTGTAGTCTAAGATCTGATCTCTAGATGACCTAGAATAGCCATGTAATATAATGTGATGATTCTAAATTTGTACCTATGTGACAGACATTTTCAATAATGTGAACTGCTGATTTGATGGAGCTACTTTGAGATTTGTAGGTGGAAGTGTAACACTGTTGGTCGAACTATGCTGAAGAGGGAAAGTGAGCGATTAGCTGAGCCCGTGCCGGGCTTTTTTTCCTCCCCACCTGCCAATTCTACATGTATTGTTGTGGTTTTAGTCATTGTATGAAAATCCCTGTGATTTTTTTTAAATGTGCAGTACACATCAGCCTCACTGAGCTAATAAAGGGAAACGGATGTTTCAAATCTACCTCTGCTCTTCTTATTTATCCGACCCAGACTCCTGGCATGTTTCTGAGATTGGTACCGAGGGCTCGCCCATTAGTTTTCCCTTCCCTTCGGGGTCCCCCCACCCCGCCTTTCCATACCCACGGGTGGATTTCAGCTTTAAAGTAACGCATACCTCCTGTGTCTCACCGCGTCCTTGCAAACGGCGAAGGCAGAAGGGACTCCTATAATGAGAAGTGACGAGGGACTTTACCCCATGGACGGGCTCTGTGTTCCTGCTTACCCCTAGAAAGTGTGTGTTTTTAAGTACAAGCCATCGCCTCTAGTGAGTAACCTGCTGAACACTCAGCTTAGGGAGCGGTTCTGCTGTGGAAGGAAGGGATATTTTTGAGGACTTGTAATGGGAGGCAGCCCCCCATCATATGTAAGTCATCAGGTTAAATATGGGACAAGCTGGTAGCTGCTGACATGGATGTCCACTGTGCCACGTAGGTGACTGGTGCTCCTAATGACAGAGATGACAAAGGGTGCACCATTAGCTCTCCAGCGTCTCCAGATTTTGGATGGTCTTCCCCACTCCCTGCAACTTGTACTGCAAGGCCTAACAGTGGCACAGTGTTGGGAAAGGGTGACTAAATATATCCCAGTCCCTGCCTCTCAGCCCATCTCCTAGAGAAGAAACATACTTTTAGTTATTGGAAATGCGGTAGAACTATCCACCGAGACACTGAAATCTGCTAAGTAACACAAGAAGCACTCCCGAGGTTCTTTTTCTACTTTGTACCAGTTTAAGATTTGCCATGTATTTTATCAAAGCAGAAAATAAAAGCTCGCCATTATCTTACCCAAATAATGCACTCACCCAAAACTGTGGTACTAAGCACTAGGAGATTCAGTGGATAAGCCTCAGATATGGGCTTGTCTCCACTGACCCTTAAATTGTATAGGTTACTTGTAATCTTTGGCTGGAACCAGCAAGGACTTCAGAATAATGCAAGTCTTTTTTCAAAAAGAATTTTTATAAAGGATTAATGTTTTAGCCTTAAAAATCTTTTGAGGGTAAAGAGGGATTTTTAAGAAGCAGCAATAGTAGCTGCTGTTCCAGTAAAGGGACGTCCTGATTAGAGATAAAGGATTCATGATGTTCCTCAAGCATTAATTCACTTCCATCCTTGATGATACTAATGGCAAAATAATTACTGAAACCCAAATTAGGCTGGCAAAAATAAATGAACGCTGGATATGAACAGTTTATTTAAAAAGACTTTGTTTCAATTCAGAAGTCCTCCAGACTCCGTCTTTCTAAAGTGTACAACTATTGGTTCAAAATTCTTTTTCAGTGTAGCCACTTTTCTCTTCATTGGAGCGTTATTTAGCTAATCACTGGATATAATTTACAGCCCTAACAACATTATTATACTCATTTGACACTAGTGTTAGTAGCTACACATAACTCAGTATTAATTGTAGAATATTTTAACCGAAGCATACTTTTTGCCATATTTAACTCTATATTAATCTTAGGTTTTGCAATTCTCGTTGCTATTTCTTGTTTTCAAACGCATTATACACCATTATAAATCAATCTTCGTACTTTA